TTGTTACATCGCACCCTGACTGGCTCGTCTCCTCCCTGAGACCCCTCTGCAAGGGGAGTATGAATTGTTTTAAGAGCTGTAAGAACCCCCAATAAAATGAATTAAGAAAAAGGAAAAAAGAGAAAAAAAACCCTGCTAGCTACTTGGTGGGAGGAAAAGGTGGCCGTCTTTTTTGGTAGAGACTTACAGCCTATGAAGCTCACTGGGGCAGTTCTACTGTGTCCTACAGGGCCAATATGAATCCGAATCCGTTTAACAGCAGTGAGTTTGAATTGGTGTAGCCTTTTCCCGGAGTGTGTGTAACACTGTTTAGATACATGCACCACCATGGCCTTTCTTCCATGGTTGTAAGCGGACTGTAGTGGTGCCAGTGTTTGTATCTGTCTTCAGAGCAGAAGAGCTGGGAAGGACATTTGTTTTCACAAAAGCCTCCTTGTCACGCTTCAGCAGATTTCTGCTTCCGTTTCTTTGGCCCTGAGTCTTATCATGAGGCCATCTTTATTTACAAGGAAGGCTAGAGCATGTAATGTTTTCTTTTTCGAGTAACTGAGGCAATCAAAAGACAAATGGGTCATGTATGGAATTAGGTTAGCCAGTCAGCACTGCCTGTCACACTGGGACATAATACCCTCCCTCTAAGTTCCGCTATTTTGATGATGGCCAAGAAGAATACACAAGTAAATGCATAGGTCACTGGAACGTAAGCTCTTTGGTTAATATCACGCTACCTGGGATATTCTTTGCCCTGTTGTTTGCCTTACACATTTCTATTTCAAAACCGACTTCTGGGATTATTACTGTAAGCTTTTCTTTTCCATGATTTCACAAAGGATTAAAAAAATAATTTCCAGCATTTGTTTGGATTACACAATCTGCAATTAAAAAGGAAGGGGGAGAGGAGAGGAGAAGAGGGACAAAGAAAGAAATGCCAAAATGTTGATGGCTTCACATAATAGAAGTTTATACGTTTTTCCCCATTAAAAATCAGCCAAAATAGGTATTCTGATGATCAGAACCTTACTTTGTATAGTGATTTCAAGTCCAGAACCTCGTGTATTTTATTAGGTTAAAAAAGAATATAATGGGAACACGAGAGAAAACTGGGAGGACTAGAGTTTCAAGTCACCAGATAAGATCATTTTAAAGACCAGTCAGTGTGAGTGGCCATCAAAGTTAGTTGTTGAAGCAAAGGAGAAGTGAAAGGTAATAGGAATGCGTAGGTTCAGAAACTCTGAATAGGAAAAGGGGACTCATGATGGGGTCCAGATAGAATCACCCACCCAGCACTCCTGATGCTAGACCAGAAAATTAAGAGGATTGTGAGTGTGCACACAGACCCCACCATGGCGCACCAAACCCTGAGGGCAACGTAGCCACATGGAGCAACACATGAACAGAGTGGGCTACAGGGCCGGCTCCAATCAGAGCCAACATGACCCCTCCCTAGAAGAATGTGCTACAGAGAACAACACTGAGCCCACGCCCACGCAGAGGGTAAACCAAGAAGGAAAAGAGTGAGTGAAGCTCTAGACCAGTGGTTCTCAACCTGTGGGTCACGACCCCTTTGGGGGTTGAATGACCCTTTCACAGGGGTTGCCCAATTCATAACAGTAGCCAAATTACAGTTATGAAGTAGCAAAGAAAATAATTTTATAGTTGGGGGAATCACCACAACTTGAGGAACTATATTAAAGGGTGGTGGCATTAGGAAGGTTGAGAACCACTGCTCTAGACCCACATCGGCACACCAAGCCCCAAGGACAATTTCCCACATAGAGCTGATAAGGCTCAGAGAGGACTGTACAGCCAACAACAGCTCGAGATATGATGTCTACTCACTGGAGCATCCCGTGACAGAGGACAATACTGGTGACACATGGCAGGGAGTGAGTCTAGTCTGAACCCCCCACAATGGGGCAAACCAAGAAGGGAACATGACAGATCAACAACAGGAATAAAGCAAAGCCACAATGCCCCTGAGTAGCCCCCAGAATACACTTCAGTCTAGGAGGGGCAGCTACCGGAAACACACACACCCTGCCCCCGCCAGGATCAATGTGGAGATAGTCATAAAGGTCAGCAGACAAACCTGGAATTATCTATGTTTTTTTGCTAGATATATGATATATATATATATATATTGTCTTTTATATATATAAATTTTTTGTTTTCTTTTTGTATTGTCTACGTTATTGTTAGTTTGCCTACCTATATAAGATAGGCATGGGAAGCAAGCCTGAGGAGAATGCAGTGGGACTGAAGGTTCCAGAGGGACTTAGGGTGAGGAGGAGGCAGGGGATGGGAGCAGTGAGCAAACAATGCCATAGACAGGGGAGCAACTAGGGAATTAAAATCAACGTAGAGATCCTGGGGGTGTTGGAGCAACAGCAATCTAGTGAGAGGAATTACTAAGAAGCAGAAGAAAGGCGAGTATGATGATGGGAAAGGAGGAAGGTAAAAGGAAACTGAGGAAAGATCTAGGGTGCAAAGTTATGGATAGAGATATAAA